AAAATTTAACAGAACGGCAAACAACTGGCTGGCGAGGTTGTGGAGAAACTGGAACCCTTATTCATTATTGGTGGAAGTATAAAATGGTGCAACCACTATTGAAGACTGTATGGCACGTTCTCAAAAAGTTGCAAATAGAAATACCATTTTACCCAGCAATTCCACTACTGGGAATTTGCCCTAAAGAAACCACAACTGACATCCAAGCAGATATATGCACACCCATGTTTATTGTGGCTTTATTCGTATTCACAAAGAGCTGAAAATAACCCAATGCCCATCAACAAACGAATGGATAGAGAAGCTCTGGTGTATTCACACAATAGAGTACTCTGAAGCATTGAAAAACAAGGAGCTCATGAAATATTATTAAAAATGGATGACCCTGGAGGACATTATGCTGAGTGAAATATCTCAGTCACAAAAAAACCCCCAAACATTGCATAAGGCCACTGTTGTAAAATGGGGCTGACATCAGGGTTGAGGGAAGACAGAAGGAGGAGACGAATGATGTATACTGCATTGAAACAGATGAGGGAGAGAAGTTTAAACGGGATATATGATTGGGTATTATTGTCATTACAGGAGTTCAGAATGAAGGCTGCACAGTGGAGTGGACTTGGGGGAGGGATTGCCTAACAGTGAAAGAGTTTTACTTTTCAAGGAGAAGAGTGAATTAGGGGAGGGAGTGTGCAAGGAGAAATGTACAACAAGGAATGACTGGAAACCCTAAGTCTGTAATGTTTCATTTAAATTTTTTTTAAAAAAAGAACTTGAAAAACCATCACAAGACAAAATACAGCCAACACAATACTGAAAATAACAGAAATCCATGAAAATGCAATCCAGAATATTAAGACTGAAATGGAAGAAATGTACAACATAGTAGAGGGACAAAAAGGTAGAACAGAAGAGATGGAACAGAGCTTCAGTGAGCTGGAAGACAAGAACCTCTGTGGGAATATACTAGAAGAAAAATCAGAGATGAGACAAAAGGAAAATGACAAAAATTTTGCAATCATGTGGAATTATATCAAAAGGAACAACATAAGTATGACTGGAATTCCAGAATATAAGGGAGAAGGAAATCACTGATATCATTGTGGAAGAATTACTTAAGAAAATATCCCAGGTATTAATGAAGAATGGAGAAATCCACATTCAGGAAGCTCTGCAAACACCAAATAGACTAGACCAAAGAGAAAAAAAAAAAACCCAAGATATAACATAGTCAAATTCTCCAAACTAAAAGATAAGGATGAAATACAGAAAACAGCTTGAGAAAAACAGTTACCTAGGGAGCTCTGGTGGCCTAGTGGCAAGAAGCTGCACTGCAATCCCAGAGGTGTGAGGTTCAAACCCACCAGATGCTCTGCTGGAGAAAGAGGGACAATCTCCTCCTGTACCAGTCAGATCCAATTTGATGGTACATGCACAAAAAATAATAAAATTAAATTAAAACAAAACCCACAACAGTTACCTACAAAGAACTAGCATCATCATCTTGGACTCATAAAATCTTAGCCCTGGAATCTTCTGACCAGAGCCCTGTCTGAGGCTACAACTTCTGTTGAAGGTTGAACAAAATTTTCCTTAGACAACAACCATCATACACATGATTGAACCCATAAAACTTGGCTGCTGTAACAAGAAAAAAAAAATGTCAGTTTGTCTTCCTTTCAGTAAATTCCTGAATCTGTGTGCAGTTTAAAACTCCTGGACTGGTTAGGGTTAAGGTTAGGGTTAGGGTTAGGGTTAGGGTTAGAAAAACAATGATCATGTACAATGATCATCACAGTGATCATTGCAAAATGGGAGAAAATATGAAGAACTGAAGAGTCCACAAGCAAAGCTCTAGAAGATTAAAAAAAAAAAAAGACAAACCAGGTAAAACCAGTGAAATTAAAGCAATCATAGCAAAGTAAGAAACTCCAAAATAATTAGATGAACAGTTCAGACACTGTCAATAGGTTGGAGAAACAGAGCATAAGAGATAGGACCCAAAAAAGAAAAAAAAAAAGTGATAGGACCCAGTACCAGCAATGCTGAAGATAGAGAAGCTTTAGCACTAGCCTGCTAATTGTTGTTGTTATTGATTGTTGTCAAGTTGAGCACAACTCACAATGGCCCTATGAGCAAAAGGCCTGAAGCCCTTCTGTAACTATTGACATTTCTCTAAGTTCATAGAGTTTCCAGAGGCATGTTGTTTAGGAAAATGGATGCCATTCCTGCTTCCAAAGAGAGGGAAAACAAAAAGGAAGGAAGAAAAGTGGAAAAAAGCATGAGAACCATGTGGGATACCATTAAAAGAAAGAATATATGAGTAATTGGAATTCCAGAACAGAAAGAAGCAAATAAAAGAACCAAGAAAATAGTGAGAAAGTTACTTAGTCACTCTGGAGACTAAGGCGCACCTAATGCAGGCCATAGTCTTTGCAATCACTTGCTATGCATCAGAGAGCTGGACAATGACTAGGGAGGAGAGAAGGAGAGTTGATGCCTTTGAGCTGTGGTGCTGGAGAAGAGTATTGAATATACCATGGACTGCTAAGAAAATAAACAAGTTTGTCCTGTAGAGGGTTAAACTGGGCTGCTCCGTGGAGGCAAGGATTCTGAAGTTTTGTCTGACATACTTTGGACATGTTACAGGGAGGGACCAGTCCTTGGAAAGGGATGTCATGCTTGGGAGGGTGGAGAGACAACGCAGGAAGGGAAGACCCTCTATGAGGTGGATTGATTCAGTGACTTGAGTAATGGGGGTAGGTGTGTCAGAGACAGACAGGCACAGGACAAAGCAGGGATGAGTCGCAGGTGACTCGATGGCACATAACAACAACAACATCGTACATCCTGGAAGTTGAGTAAACCCAAAAGTGATAGACACTAGACGGAAAGCATATCATAACACAACATCGCAAAACAACCCAATCACAAGATGAGAAGATATGAAGAGATTTTTCACCAAAGTAGATATTGAGGTAGTCAAAATGCACAACAAGCAGTATTTCAGATATTAGAGTCATGCAAATAAAAACATCAATGAGATATCATCTGAACTCTGCAACAATAGCAAGATTCAACAGGACACCACATAAATTATGATGAGGATGCTGAGAGATTGGGCCCTCCTGCATTGCTGATGGGTGTGTTAATTGTACAGCCCCTATGAAAGGTAGTCTCGCAGTTCCACAGAAGACTGCAAATAGAAATATCATTTGACCTTTCCATCCCACTACTGAGAATACAACCAAAGAAACCAGATAAGACACAAATAGATATATATGCACTTTTGTGGTTACTACATTATTCACAATAGCAATCTGGAAGCATCCCTACTGCCCATCAATAAACAGAGAAACTAGTACATCCACACAATGGAGTATTATGCATCACTGAAAAAAATGAAGATTTTGAGAAACACTACACAACATAGATGAATCTAGAGGACATTATCCCAAGTGAATTAACTCCTTCAAAAGGGACAAGTGCAGTATAAAAACCCTGTGATAAAAGCAAGTGGATTTTGGTGCAGAGGGTTGGGACTGGCAGGTACAGCAAGAAGAGAATAAATTCATATGGAAAGCAGCATTGAAAGAGATGAAGGTAAGGTCATTCTGAAAAGAATGGATATGAGTAATACTACTAACAAGCTGGAAGAGGACATTAGGGAATGATGGGAGGGAAAACATGGGATAAATCTGTATAAACAAGTGAAAGGAAAAGAATTCTTTTAAACTTTGATTCAAATATTTATAAAAAAATTAAAAATTAATATTGTAGTGATTTCCATGCTCTCTGTAATCATATCATTGTTGTTTGCTATCTGATCAGAGCCAAACCATAGCTGATCTCCAGAAGATTTTCAGAGGCATTTTACCACAAGAAGATTGCTCATCCTTCTAAGATGAAGCAGCTGGTGGATTGCAGAGTGTCTCTAAAGATTGCTGTGCAGCTTCTTACCACTAGGCCACCAGAGCTATCTGTTTAGTATAGAAGCAAAGAAGAGCATAGGGCCTTTATAATTTAAATTGTAAATTTATTACAAGTGCCATAAAACTTTAATTCAAATTATTGGGAAATGTTGAGTATGGGGGGGGGAATATTTTTATGTTGTTGTTGTGGTGGTGCACCATAGAGTTGAAACTGACCCATAGCTGACACTCCAGCAGCTTTTCAGAGGCAGTTAATGGCATAAAAGGAGATTGACCATCCTCCTGTGGAGCTGCTGGTGGCCTCGAGCTCCACGGCTTCGAGTTTGCAGTGTGGCTTATTGCCGCTTGGCCACCAGTGTTTAAGACAAGGTTTCTTCTGTTAAGGGTGGCATTTGTGTCTCTGAAATAATGTCTTAGAGGACATCTCCTGGAAGAATGCTTGAGGGGCTTTTCTGGTGAAAGTAGATCATCCATTTAAAGTTAATTAACTTGCCCAAGAGAAGCAATTACAGTACTGAAATACTTTAGCATAAAACACCAGTACCAATACAAGCGGATGCCTAATGAGGGAGTGCCAGAAAACTGTCACTTAAAGAGTAAAGACTAGGTTTACACAGAAGAGAATTAGTGCCAAAAATTCCATTCTTCCCCTTCACTCCCAAAATAGTACGTTGAAAGCAAACTTCAGGAATAAACAGTATGACTGCTCTTACTAGTGCATGTATCTGCAATTGGAAGAAAATACAAGAGGATTGTCAAGGAATATGCATAAATTATAAAAAAAATAATCAGTTCTTACCATTACTATCTTTTTCTAGGAAAAGCCCTCTTTCTAGCTGTACATTAACTCATTATTTCCATAAAAGATTATGAAAAAATCAAAAGGAATGGAAAAAAAATCTCTACATATAGCATTTAGTAGTTGGCATATCTTGATAAGAACTGCCTTTCAAAAATGCTAAAGATCAGATTCAAAACACAAACCCACACGCCGGCTGGGCTGGGGCAGTGAGGACCGCGGTTCCGGACTCCAATGACCGCGTCTCGTTCGGCGCGACGGCCGGGCCCATGGAGCTGGAGACCCAGTGGTGGCGAGGACAGCTGGCCGCCGACATCCACCAAGTGCTTCGGTACAAGGAACTGAAGTTACCATCCTATAAAGGCCAGTCGTCTCAACTAAGTCTCAGACGCTATTTTGCTGACCTGATTGCCATTGTGGGCAATCGCTTCTCTCTCTGCCCTTCTGCCCGATATCTTGCCGTGTATTTACTAGACCTGTTTATGGATCGCTATGTCATCTCTATCCAACAGCTGCATTTAGTTGCGCTCTCCTGCCTGCTTCTAGCAAGTGAATTTGAAGAAAAAGAAGATAGTGTGCCTAAGTTGGAGCAGCTCAATAGCTTG